ATATAATATAAATCATCGAAGGTACATATACAGTGTTAAATAAGGACATGATGGAACATCGTAGGCTACCCTGTAACTTTTCAACGAATAAAGTCCTATAAAAGTCATTGTGTAATAAAATGCCTCCGACGGGATTCGAACCTGCGACCTCTCGCTGACAAGGCGAGCGTCATAACCACTAGACCACGAAGGATTCATGGTTGAACAGGTCCAAATAACCGTCGGCAACATTGTATTACACAATGGTGCGCCTCAAGAGGGCGTTGGCCAGATTAATTATCTGGAGAAACGGCTAGAAATAAATACTGTCGTATATTGTATATGATATTGAAGAAAGTTAGCCGTCAACACTGCTGAATAAATATAATATAAATCATCAAAGGTACATATACAGTGTTAAATAAGGATATGATGGAACATCGTAGACAACCCTGTAGCTTTTCAACGAATAGAGTCCTATAAAAGTCATTGTGTAATAAAATGCCTCCGACGGGACAGTTTACTTCATCATAATTAGTTGTAACTTGTTTATCAGTTGATTATGTAATAGAAAACGGCGGTACCGCGGGGTTATAACTTTTGATGTTCGGTTTGAGATGTTCCATGTAATTTCAATGCTTCTTGTTTTACCAATTATAAATATTATTTACATGCTCTTCAAAATTTTAAATAACTATCAACAAGATAGGTGACAGTGACAAATGACTAAAACTTTATTTCTTATTCGACCTATTTTGGTGTATGAGAGAACATTCTTTCTCATGTGAACATACAAAATAATCGGTCAGCTTACATTGCATGACTAATGAAGTTAACAATAACAATAATAAGGCTAAGTAAAAACAAAATTTTTGCCAAACAAACACGATATCTTGTGAATATATTGAGCAAGTTTCGACAGTTGTTTTTTGAGCTGGTATTAAGTAATTGGTGTATTTCATATTGATTAGGTCTAATGTAATAATAATTTTAATACATCCTTAGTGTAGGGCAAACGAATAAAAAATGGAATTATCTCCAGTATCATTTCGATTACACAGAGTACAATTTGTAGCGTGATCATCACACCTACAAAGATCAGTTTTTTTTTATCTGATAAGGTTATTAATGATTGTTAAAATATGAGATCACACTTAAATGTAATGTTTGACAGTTTACTTCGTTCATAATCAATGACACGCATCCAAAAAGTTAACATTCTCTTCTCTACTATTAATTACTATTACAAATATTATTATTATCATTTGTGGAGTAACCGTCAATAAATCCTACTTTCTCTTCACCAAGCTCTACACCAACATTATATTCTATATTGTTTCCACTTAAGACATTATTAAATTCAATAGCTAAGTGATCCAAACTTTTATAATAACGACTAATAAAAAAAAATCGAAGTCATTAAGATAAATAGCAAATAAAAGCGGATATCACACCAATCTGTTTGACACATGACTTCGTGTTAGCAGACAAATTATAAATGACATTAATGACTTTATAACATGATATTAGTTTACTCTATAGAGAAAATCGGTCGACCAGGTCAAACACTAAGCTGTAATAGATAAAAGTGCAATACAACCACTTATGTTTCTTTAAGTATAATTCAATTATAGAACGCAGTACCAATATATTATCATTAGTGGAGTAACCGTCCCTAAATCCTACTTGCTCTTCACCAAGTATACCTACACCAACATTATAATAATTCTATTGTTTACACAATGGACATTTCCGGTATGTCACTTATTCTTACCAACCGACCAATTAGGGCCAGGAATACGAACGTGCCTTACAAACACGACGTTGTCCAATAAACGCACGTGTTTTTGCATGTTTCACGTTGTCGTTTTTTTTAACCTTTGCCACAATATTTAAGTGCCGGAGCATAGCATTGTATGACATGTTATGTTTTGCAAAATAATTCTATTTTCATGATTATATTAAACAAAATCACATTTTCAATTTACAAAAAACTTCAATTACATCTACATTAAAATACATTCATTCAAACCGTTACTATGTTGAATAAAATACATATTACTAAGAATAAAATTGTCCATTTATCGCTTTAATGCATATATAAATAGCATTATATAAAAAAGTAGGCCTATAAATTAATAGAAGAGGGCATATGTATACTTTATATTCCCCACAATTAACTAGAAAATTTCAAATTACAGTACAAATAAATTAGTTTACACCATCGCCAATTAATGAGGGAGGAAGAGCACAGTGAACAATGGATTTGATTATACAGTTTCCAGCACAAAATCTGCTCACAAAATTGTGTATATATTTTATGCAATCTTCATAGCATGAAGGGATGTTATTGAATAAAGTCACAGGCTCCAACATTAAATAAATATTAGTAGTTCTTTTTTAATGACTCAAAGGTAATTATGACTAAGTACTGCTGATAGAGCCTCACTAAATTAATTTACATAGTCATAGAGGAACCGTTTACGCAATAATTATGGCCTAAATAATAAACATTTAATTTCTGCGGAACACTTTGAAGATGTCCTACATAAAGCGTTAGCTCTGACTAAGAAAGTCCTATACTTTTGCTTAATATCAAATTCATCCAGTACAAATTACAAACACGAACCACTTTATGAGATCCAATAAAAATAATGAACAAATTTGTACTAAAATTACTACACACACAGTTTCATTTAGTCAAGACTTCATCGGTTTTTGAAGAATGATGATTGTTGCAACAAATACAAAGCATGCATTATCTAAGAAATTTAATAAACATTTCTGGAATGATCAAAGTTAGCGACTGACTAATAAGGACAAGGCAGATATACGTATATCCATGAACACGCGTACGATTAAATCTTTCAAATCCTAGCAACAGTATCCAAGGGAAAAGCCAATTTTAACCATTATACTGAAAGGCAACAAAATAGTATATGATGATAACAGGCCTTATATAAATCTGTATGTTTTCTAGTCAGATGGATGAATACGGACAAATTGCTCGAAGAAAGGTTCAGAGAAAATGTTTTCCAACAAAATTTTATCACATAATCTAAAGGTAAACTTTAAGTTCTAAACAAATACAAGATACAAGAAACTTTATTTGTCTTCAAATATATAGAAATTTTTGAATACACTATATTTCCTAAAACATGTAACAGACAACTTGCAAAAAAACAGAATGACAAATATAAAACATTATTTACTGTACAAAAGAAAACGAAATAGCAGATATAAATGTCACAATATTATTATTTTATTTATTTATATATTTATTTGTTTGTTTGTTTGTTTGTTTGTCTGTCCGTTTGTCGGTCTGTCTATCTATCAATCTATCTATCTACCTATTTATATATTTATTTATTTATTTTCTTGTTACTTTTCAAATTTTAATTTTTAGGATATTATTGTGATATAACATATATGTGATTCCTTTAATTAAAAAAGAAAAAAATAATATATGTAAATATATTTGGAAAAACACTTTTATTGACACTTACAGTTACTTGATAATCTGATTTCCTGGTTGGGAGAAACAGGTTACCATCGACACTGTAAAAAATTTCATAAGAAGTCACCCATTGTAAGCGTTGGTTGTTGCGGCCTTGTGTGATTACTCCTTGTACCTTATGCAGTTTGCCGAGGTCAACTTGAATCCATTGGTATTGGTCGCTGGTTTTTGAACACCATGCTCCTGCTCCTGCTTCTGTGTTCAGTCGTCCACGATGTGCCAAACAGTTAGAAGAATATTCACTTGAAGCGGATAGCTGTTCATCGGGAATAGTCCCATCTTCAACACCAAGAGGATCGATACACAACTCTGAAATAGAATATTACCATTCTAGGTATGACACATTTGGTGACAATTTTCGATATTTTTTTTTTTATTTTATGCAGTGTAAATTGAAAAAAAATTGAAAGAAAATCTCATAAGCTAATATATGGTGAAGTTTGAATTTTATGCAAACTGTATATTATGATTCTTCATATGATACCCTGTTTTCTGTTAACTGCTCCGCCGAGGTGGCTGTAGCCACCGTTGGGGAAAGCTGCCCCCCCCCCTCGTCGGGGAGAAAAAGCACAATTCTTCATTAAAAAAAAATAACATTATATGGATTTTCTACATATAGACTCTAAAATCGATCAAATAAGCCTTGAAACCCCTAAATTGTCTGCAGTTTCGGGGGCTTCGCCCCAGGACCACTTTCGAAACTTTGCTTTTGTCGGAAATCTGAACCCTCCTCTGGGCATCCCCCAGTCGGGGACCTCGCCCCTCTCCCGTCTGGCAAATCTTGGCGCCACCCCTGCTGCTCCGCATACGGTATTAATCTGAATCTTTATATTATTAAATTAAAAATCCAAGTTTATACAGGCCTTTCTGTGGGAACATTCCATTTTGGACGTTGAACTTTTTCCCATTATTACTATTGTTTATAATTTAAAAGTGAATCAAAGTCTTTGTATATTTCATTTGATTATGATTATGAAAAATTAATAAATATTAGGCTACTACTAGTATTACTAGTAATATACAATGAAATATTGAAAACCACACCATTATTATTTTTTTTTTGGCTCTATGTTTTTAAATATGGTTTATTTTAAGTAAATGAACGCTACGCGTATCTGTGGATAAAGAAAAACGATGAAAAATAGCTGCTTTTTTTTTTTATAGGGGAGGGGGTTGTTTGCCTCCAATAATTCTTATAGCAATTCAATAAAGTTATATAAGCTAAAAAAATGTTTGCCATTATATTACATACAAGACTATGATAATCAGAAGTACATTAGGTGTTATGAACAATCGGCAGATACACGAGTGCTTTACAACGTAAACTCTTGCTTTTTGCAGTATTATATTCCAAGGGCTCTAACACTGCATAGAATTAATCATTTAATTTATATAAATTATACTACCACTCGATATTTTATTGGCTTTCGAAATATCTAAAAATTAGTTTGATTTTATATAATGCGCTCTTACCGGCTCGTATTTTTGTTGTTGAACTGTTCAATCCCGATGGAATTTTTGGGAGTCCTATAGTTTTAATAGGACTCGAGCCATTGTTTTGCTAGTGTTCTGTCCGAATAATTGTAATTAGCAGTTCTGATGGTTTTTACAAAGTAGAAATATTTTTCTTTATACTTCAAATTGTTATCAACGAGTTCACCAAGATCCTTTCTATATTGAAGTTGTCTTATTTTTTTTTTCTGAAGCTCAATATTCTTGTACAAAATAATTTCATTTTACGTTTACGTTTTTCCAATATACAAAATCATTTTACCAATATACCGTTGAATTTATATTCAATTTCATTAATTCATATTGCTTAGATTGAAATTATAAACACAATCCGCTTTAAGGCTTCAGTTACAAACAATGAACGAATTCATATTAAACTAACGACACACATTATTCAAGAATTCATCGGTTTGTTTGCTGAAACAAAATACAAAGGACACATAATCTAATTTTAATAATTGGCATTTTTGGATGATCAAACTGAGTACCCAACCAATCAGAACAGGGCACAACAAATGCGCATGCCCGATAAACACACGAAGGTTTACACTTGATGAGACCTTAGTAACAATATCCAAGGGACATAGTGGAAAGGCCCATTCCAAACAAACTAAAAGGTATCAACATTTCCACTGTTACTGCAAGTAATATAGTGGGACTCGCCACCATATTTAAAACACTTGTATTCTACCGCCATCACACACTCCACAGCGCATCTAATGCAGCTTCCTGAGGAGTTTTGTTCGTTATTGAACACTTTGGAATCTGACAAAAAGACTTGTAATAAGTTTAGTCCAACATATAATTTTTCATTAGCTGTTCTGTTGTGGACGAAAGAAGAAAAACTATACTGTACTGTAATAAATGTTTAGGAGAGATGCATAAATATTTTCATAATATTTTATTTTAATAATTCATTCGTGATCAGAATTCTTCTTTTCAACAGCATTTACTGTAATTTATGATCACTATATGAAAACATAGTTTTTATCATCACCATCACTATCATCATCATCATAATCATCATAATCATCAATGGCGTCACCATTATCACAATACTCAATTATTAATTTAAATCTAATTTGCAAAATTATTTTAATTTACCTTTCGAGCATCCAAGAACTTCAAAACGTAAACATATACGGTCATGCCAATCAATCGGATGAATACGGACGAATTGGGCGTAGACAGGGTCAGGGAATATGTTTGTCACAGCAGTGTCTTGATTCGAATTTCCTTGAAACTTCTATAAATATCACATCTAAAGGTTAACATAGCGTTCTCAACACATTCCGATACAATAAATGGTGTAACTGTTGGTGCTTCAGGTGACTCTCCCCGTAAAAATGGATATGCAATCGTGAGAATAAAAAAGTCAGAGGACTAAATATAATATAGATGTATATAAATAATGATAACAGACCTTATATAAAACTATATGTTTACGTTATAATTCAATTTAATATGTAATTAAAGAATTGTCGGCCCAGTTATTAAAATTAGCCACACTGATACCATCGTGATTGTTGGAAATTCAGTCGGAAGTTGGAAAGAATTGTCATCTGTGTTCCACAAACTCAACATGTGATGTTTACCTTTTTTTGAACACTGTATTTACCTTTTTTGATGATTTATATAGAGGTTCGAGTCCCGCCAGAGGCATCTTATTACACAATTTCTTTATTCATTTATTTACAGGACTACATTCGTTGAGAGCTATGCTACACGATGTATTATTATGTCCTTTATTCGAACACTGTATTTACCTTTCTTTGATGATTTATATATGATTTAACAGTGTTAACGGCTACCTTGATTTATGTTATATGCACCTATTTGTTTCTAGCCGTACCTATTGTGTAATAGA